TTCTCAGCTTCCCTCTATATACTCTATATACGGTGGATAGGACTCATGGTTGGGAGGTGAACCCAGGGCTGTCGCGATGTTGGGTCCGCTGAGGCCCCCAACTGCAGCGCCACATCGTCCTTCAGGGCCGGCCTCGGCGCAGATCGATACCCCCGGCAGTGAGGTCGGAGGCATGACAAGAATCATGGGGCGGCAGAGGCATGTTGGGCTTTCTTGTTGTTTCATGTTGCTTGCTGTTGTTTGTGCCGTATGTGTGTGTGTGTGTGCTTCTCGCATTTTGTGCTTGCTGCTGTGTTTTGCATTGTATTGGGATAATGTAGGTGTATTTATATATATATATATATATATATATATTCCGTGTCAATGTGTGTCCTGATTGCCATGACTGTGTATATATGTATCATATATATATATATTAGATAGATGGTACCCCCCATGGACCCTGGTTTGGTGAGCTTGAGCTGTGTTTTCCCCAGTGGTAAGCAAAGATATCGACATCTGCCATCTTACAGAGTCTGCATCCATCTCAGAGTATTGGGACAACCCTGGATGTGTTCTATGTTTAAAAAATAAACGGGATTCAAGATTCAAGAATCTCACAAATTATGTTTAGGTTCTTGAATCTTGAATCTCAGATTTGTTTGAAGAAGAAAAAAACGGTTGTCCCAGTACTCTAGGTGTTTTCTGTATGCTTCTGCAACCAAGTATGCGCACCCATTGCGCACCCATCTGCAGTCATATGCATTTCTCCAAGTTCCCGCAATTTCTGGGTTCAAAGTGAGAGGACACGATTCTCGGAAAATATTTCAATCTCAAACATTCAATCCAGTGGTAAAATACTTTCGCGGTGTCGGAACAACTCAAAAGTGTTTTGGGGCTGGCCCCTTGAAAGATTGTTGGGATGATTCTCGGGAAAGTTGTTGTCTGTGGAATTGTCAATGTTGACTCCTCAATCCAGCGGTAGAGCAAGTCTTAGAAGAACTTGAATGTTGTTCGGGTTTGGCCAGGATTGGCGATTCTCATGAAAGATTTCTGTGTAATCTTCCATCTTGAATCTTCCATCCAGTGGCAAAATACTTTCAAAGTGCATAGCGATCCAGTGGAAATTAGACAACCATTCAAGTGGTTTTGGTGAGCGGTTTGCTGCATTCAAGCTATGCTCATGTTGACCCTTTAGGATCATGAGGGGTTCTATATGGTTGTATATGTGCGTGTGCGTGTGTGTATGCATATATGTGTTCACACAAAGTCACCACCCACCCGCCTGAACCACCTGTCCACCTTTGCTCATCTTCTACCTCCGCCTTTTGAGATAAAATGAATTATGATGTCCTGCCCAAATGAAACGTCAAATACAGTTGATTTGGGTAGTTTTAGAACTTGAACCTCTGTTCCACTTTGAAACACCGTCTAACAAGTTTGATTTCGAACCTTCTTATGCTGCAAAAGGGCCAGAATGCAAATAACACAAATCGTATGTCGAATTTCATTTTAGAAGTTCCTTAAATCTTTAGCCATATTAAACATGAGTATTTTTGAGAGTTAGTTTCTATTTAGTTGTTGTTATAAAAGCTAATTGAGCTGTGATCGTATTAGATTATATTTAACACTCAAGTTATGTGGGAATAGAATCCTATCCAATTTATGTTGTTAAAGATTAGTTGTAGTTGACCCAAAACTGTATTTACATTTTCATGTAATTCCTACTTGGAAATAATTGTTTATTTGAGTTATGTTTGAACAGAAAACACAGTTTGGAAAACTACATATTTACTAAACGATACTCAAGATTCCAATTCGAGTTGAAGTAAAGTCCTATTTGGAAAGGGTACCATATTGGGACATTTAGAGGCCTTCGGACTCCAAATTGTGAGGCTTTGGGGATCCAAAATTGGAAGTTTCCACAATCTAAATCCCCAAAAGGCACTAACACCAGGGTCCATGGGGGAGGGGGAGTTGCATATTTATATATATATATATGTGCAATACATGTATGTAAATGCAAGAGTCCGCTCGCTGACGGGAGCATCTGCTTTGCAAGAGTTGTGTGTCTCTGATTCCCCCGCAGTGAGGGCTGTTCCAAAAGCCAAAGCTTGACTGCGAAACCGCTAAAAACAATCAAGTCGTGTCAATCAACGAGCAGGACTGGATTCTACGCACATGTTCGTCCCTTGGTGCAAGCTGGAAGCTTCTTAACGTCCCCCTGAAGTAATGCAATCAGGCTTGGATCATGGGAATCTGGTGCCAGCGCATCATGGGAATCTGGCTCCAGCGCAAGCAATGCAGCGCTCTTTCTTGAGACATCCTGCTAACAGGATCAACCGATACACGGGCGTTTCCTTTTTCAGGTCAAATAAACTGCTTTTGGGGCGGGCTGGCTTCACTTGACTCAATCAAAACCTGGGTACCCCAAAATGATGCTCCTGATGGTATTCCTAGAAGCCAAGCTGAAAAAGGGTACCCTCAAAAAAGCACGAACCCACCTGGTATAGAAGATTACCCAAAAGGAATTGCCCCCTGAGCTTCATCCACCCAGCCCACGTCAGCTTCTTCAGGGATGCAATTCGACCGGTGTACACCCTGCAAATTGAAAATATGTTTCCGCTGGTTCCGTGTAAAACCTCCTCAAGCCCATGAAGTTCCGCTTGAGCAGCCGGCCCGCTAAGTACATTCTCGCCGTTCACCAGCTTGATGCCGTAGCCCTGGCGGGTTTCACACCTTTCACCTCGCTTGGTGGGCCCCAAATCGAAGGGCACCAAGCCCTTTTGAGGTGACGCCCAGTGGTTGCTGAGCCAAGTCCGAAGAAGAACCAGGTTTCATCCCCCAAGCCACTAACCCAAACCACCGGTTAGGAATGCTTAGGGTAAAATGAAATGCATACTCCTGAATGTGAACAAACAAAAACAAAACGTGTCTCTTGAGAGAGTTTCTCCATTTGTGGAAGCCCCTTTGGGGAGTCCATCTTAATTTGCAGGAGAGTACGTATAGGTGTGTCCATTTTGCCCATTTATGCATACCCCACGCATAACAAATAGGTTGGTGCCCCTCAAACAAAGGGAAATTATGGCTGGGCAAGTTGCGAGCACGTCATCTGCCGGCGCCAAGGTCCATGACAAGCTCAACATCAAGGTAGGTTTTTGGACGGCGTATGCGCCAGGGGGAAGACATCCAGATTCCTCTCTGGATACAATTTTGCCTCCAGATGAATCCCCCCCAGCGCCGACATATGGCCTGCCCTTGATTCCCTGCCAGCGAATCTCATGTGACTTTGAGCGTACCCGCAAGGTTCAGATACCATGCCACCTGCCCCTCTCAATCAACTTTACATGTGTTGCCCGGTCAAAAGACCCACTTTGCTCCGATTCCCAGAGCTAGGCATGGACTCTCTTGTAGAGGTTTCCGACTAGGGGGAGCGATGACCAAAACCAAAAGAGCCTGAAAGATCAAGATTGAAACTTCGAACCGAAATCCAGACGGAGTCTCAAAGGTACGAATCGAGCGCTTCAAGAAGCGAGAGTCGCTCAGTTTGATGCCCCGCTTGCCTTCTTTGCTGCAGACTTGCAAAACCTTCACCATTTCAATGGGGCGGGGTTTACTGTGATGAAAGCTAATCCCTGGTTGCATTTCGAGTTGGAAAGGGACAACCCCCTTTCCAAAAACCTTGGGACCTTCTTCAAACACTAAGCCCGGTCAAAAATTAACAGGGCCTCCTGCGTTTACCCCTTTAACATCACCCAAACAAGTAAACTCACTTGCTCATGACGCCATTGGAGCATTCAATGGAACACCCTGACCCAGCCCAACAGGATCTGAAGCGGGGGAAGCTGGATAGTTCGACCCACTCCACGGAAAAACGTCCCACCCCCCTGCAGACTACCATGGAACCAACAAAAAGCCAGCCATGTCGAGAGGGGTCTCCTTTTCAAGTAACCCCACAAGTGGTTTCTTCGGTGAATTTCTTCGGTGAATTTGCAGGAAAGAAATCCAGCGTCTCCGTAACGGTCAGTACGAATTGTGTCCTCAACCGACATGAACATTTTGCAACCGGTAGCTTGGCGTAATTGATGGCATCCCCTCCACAATTTACCACAAATGACAGTGAATCCTGACATGATGTTCCAACGATTTGAACCCCTCAAGCAAAAAATGACGCGCAACCGCAAAGCTGTGGCACCTCGAAGGCAGAGCGGCAGGTCTCCTCGAAGAGGTCGAAGTACTCCCAGCTCTTCAGCCTTGGAATCCGACATGGCAACGTCCAAATCTCAATGCAGTATGGGTTTGTCTCATCTTTTTCATTTGTATTTCTTCTTTATCTCATTTGTTTCTCGGAACCTGCAGAATGGTTGGTTTCCCACTTTCACATCCCATGTCCTTTTTGGATTCCCGGTCTCCTTTCCAGTGGTAGCCGTTTCCTTTGCCAAGGACCCCCAAAAAGAAACGGACCCGCCGAAATGGATGGCGTGCGTGAGAAGAGATTTCCAAGCCTCCAGGTCGTTGGGGTTCTTCAAGGCTCGGTACAAGTTGCAGGATGGCTACAGTAAAAAGGGAGCTCTGTTGACTGGAACCTTTCCCCTTGCCACGGAGTTGAAAGGGCAACCGCCCGTTTTGGGTTGCCGCTTGAAGGCCTCACTGTCTCCCAAGTCGAAAGCTGCCCCAAATCAAAAAGTGTTGAAGCCATTCCCGTATTCCCCAATAAGGACAAGACATATGGGCTCAAGGCAGCAGCAGAGTTGGACCCCCCAAATATCAGAAACACCGAACATCGGGGAAAACAAAGAAAGGCTCTTAGAACCTTACTTGAAGCAGAAAGATTCTTAGAGCCCCGGTTGAAAGGGGCACATGCAGGTCTCCTGAAACAAATGTTTAACCCGACAGTTGCACCCTGGTCTGACAATTCCAGCCAATTTGGATGCGCTGAACCGTCCCCTGGAAGAGTACAGCAAGAGTAACGAAGTACCAAGATGGGGTGGAATCCACCCCGGGAATCTTCATGGGTGAGGTCACAAGCTCCCATTGTGATCCACAAAAACCGTCGAATAAGCCAAAGAGATAAGGCTGCGGGGGACATTCGGCCAGGGTCGTTTTAGGCGAGGCCGAGGGTCCTCGAAACGGGCACCCCACCCCACCCCCACACACCGCTGCCTGCGGCTCTTCGGCTGCTGCTTCACCAGCGCCTGCCCAATGCAAACGAGATGAACATGGAGATGCGAGCAAAAGGCACTTTGATGTCGTACTTCAGGTTTCGGATGTTTGTTTGTTTTTCCTTTTTTGAATGTTTGGGGGTGCAAAGAAAGTATTTGGGCGTAGCGAAGCCTAGAAAATCCACGAAAACGTGTCCCTAGGGAAAGACCTACCGGGCCGCGCCTGGTTGAGATGGTGCACTACCGCGCGGCAGGAGTCGCACTTGTAGCGGTCCGGCATGTTGTAGCCATACTGGTCCTGCTACGGGACTTCTTTTCGAGGGTTTTTTTTGGGGGGGGTTACAGGGAAAGCAAGGCAAAACGACTCATGTTCTGGACTCCCACCTTCTGGGACAAACCTTTTGCCGTGAAACTCAGAATCTGTGGGTCGTGGTCACTGAAGATCTTTTGACCATGGGCCGTCATCAAGTCCAACTTCTGCCAGTTGCTGACTTAGAAACAATCTCTCATAACAACAGTCAAAGTAATGGGCCCAAACTGCAAGGATAATGAAGATGACCAGAACGGTCAGACACAACGTGGAGATCAGGAGAAAGATCCGAAACGCTTGCTGGTACATGATGTTGCCCCCAAGCAAGGATTCTTCGCAGGTGAAGTCATTAACTCCGTATGAAGCCGGAAAACAAAAACAAAAACAGAGTTCTGTACAAACAGAACACGAGGTCTTGACTCAGATACTCAACCCGACGATGAAGCCATGTCCAAGGCAAGTGGAACATCATTCTCTGATATTGAAGGGAAACTCTCCACAACCCCATTCCAATTGCTTAGGTCCTTACACCATCTATTCGGGAAACCATGCAACCATTGCCCACGACCAGCAAAATGTCAAAACCTTGTCTCGAGGGAAATTCCCCAAAACGACAAGGGCCCCTGCAGCTTGGGAGGGCGAGGCCAAAGTCCTCCTCAGTCATCGATGGCGCTTCGATCTTCAAAGTCTGGCGGCACGAGAAGGAACACGCCCTTCAAATACCCCGCACTTGTTTGAGTTCTTTCTGGGAAAGCCCGCCTTTTCACGGTGATTTACCTCCTTTCTTAGTCAAGGGGTCAAGTCTCTTGGTCTTTGAAGTGATCCGTGCTTCTCCCAAATGGTTAAGAGCAAAAAAGATAAAGGTTGAGGGTGCTGCAAAAGGGGAAACACGTCGAAACATGCAGAACAGGGAGCTGGACTCGCTCCTTAGATTCCTTTCCAACAATGCACCCGCACAAAACTGCCCCTGACACATGCTACAAAGCTTCTCCTGGCGGGGCAGCTGTTTGTGGTCTCAGAAAAGAGAGGCAGAGAGGGAGAGAGAGGAAGGTAGGGAGGGAAAGAAAGAAAGAAAGAAAGAAAGAAAGAAAGAAAGAAAGAAAGAAAGAAAGAAGCGAGGGAGGGACAGGGACAGGGACAGGGACAGGGACAGGGGACAGGGGACAGAAAGAGAGAGAGACAGAGAGAGACGGAGAGAGACAGAGAGACAGAGAGAGACAGAGAGAGACAGAGAGAGACAGAGAGAGACAGAGAGAGACAGAGAGAGACAGAGAGAGACAGAGAGAAACAGAGAGAAACAGAGAGAAACAGAGAAAGACAGAGAGAGACAGAGAGAAACAGAGAGAAACAGAGAGAAACAGAGAGAGACAGAAGGGAGAGAGGGAGAGAGGGAGAGAGGGAGAAAGGGAGAGAGGGAGAGAGGGAGACAGGGAGAGAGGGAGAGAGGGAGAGAGGGAGAGAGGGAGAGAGGGAGAGAGGGAGAGAGGGAGAGAAGAGGAAGAGAGGGAGAGAAGAGGAAGAGGGGGAAAAACAAAATGGCCCCGCCTGAACCTTCCTACCCTCGTCGTTGACGCTCTCCTCCCAACCTGCACGCAGAGAACAAGCCATTGCTTCCAAGCAAGATTCATGATGCCCTGACAAGTCATTGAACACTATTTGCTCTGAATCTACAGCGACAGAACTCAACTCCCTGACTCCTTCAGAATCATTGGCAGTGCCACGTGCGGTCACGTCACTAAGCTGTTCACCTACGATAGCTGACTTGACCAGACCAGACTTGGACCTGCGAAAAGTTTGATACGTTTTGATAGTTGCAAGGTACACTGTTGGAACACCATAAAGGGGAGAAGTTGCATTAAAAGAAAACAAAAAGTCGGCGAGCTGAGTCTGGCAATGTTCAAGGGCAGCCCCGTTGTCTCTCGCCTCCCGCCTCCCTTGTCTTTCGCCTCATTGGCCTGGAGCCGTGGCAGAAGAAGCAGCACCTGCTCGGCCCAGCGACAGCAAGTCGGGTGGTCCCCACATAGGCTTCTCCTGTTTTTTCAGGACCTCTAGAAAAACCAACAAGAAACCACCCAAAAAAATGTGGGAGACCCATTCTAGGAGGGCCATGTTTGTATCTTCCTACGGGTCTTGGGACCTACGGGCCTTCTTTGAGCTCCAAAACCTTCGGTGACGCCAATATAAGAAACTCCGACATCGCATCCAGTCCTGTGTCTCCGTGTCCGGGTTCTCTCCCAACATGGGAAGACCCACAAAGTGAGCAGATTCGCCGTGTTGCTGTTTTCCCCAGGTTGCTGAAAGCTTTTGGGGTTGTAACTTCTGAAGGAAAAGTGATTTGCGAGATTGAGGGCCGAGTGCTAGGGGGCATGCAGTGTGGGCTGGTGGATGCTGTTCGGCTGGGTGCTGTCTTGGGGTACTGTTTCGGGTACTGTTTGGGGTGCTGTTTGCATGTCCGGTGCTGGCGCAGGTGCTGCGTTGGGGTGCTGTTGGGGCTGCTGTTTTGAAGTGTTGGTGACGGTGCGGGCGCATGTGGATGCAGGGTGGGTGCTGTTTGTGGTATCGCAGTTGTGGCGTCAGCATGAAGCTGTCCGCAGTATCATGATGCTGTCAATTGAACCGATTCGGACTTTGTTGCTGCTCTAATTGTGGCACGTAATGGTCCGTGGCTGGTGTAGCATCATAATTGTCAACCACACCATGCTGCTGCTGGAATCACTGCGATGCTGCGTTTTGGCTTGTGGGTGGTTGATGCTGAATATCATTACGCTGTCGCAAGATGATTCGTAGCTGTGGTTCATCATGATGCTGCCTTTACCATCACCATGATGCTGTTCGCATCACCATGACGCTGTCCGCATCATCATGATGCTGTCCGCATCAACCTGATGATGTCGAACTCATCAGGATGTCGTCTCTGCAGTTTTTCTGCCGGAATCGTTTGCGGCTGGTGTATCAGCAGGATGCTGTCAACATCATCATTTTGGTGCTGCGCTTATTAGGACGTTGTCTGCATTTAGCGCACCACTCAGCGTAGTGGTTGTGATATCACCATGATGCTGTCAACATCATCATGATGCTGCCAACATCATCATGATGCTGTCGACATTTTCATGATGCCGCGGGAACGAATTGTGATGTTGCGTCATGGTTGGTAGCCGTGGTGTGCTATCTGGGGTCTATGCTGCGTAATTGTTTAACGCAAAAGGGTATTAAGACAAGACCCGCCCCAAGAGGCGACTCTTTCATTCGAATGCCCGGCCTTCGTTAGGGTCAACGCCCAACCCATGATGGGCACCAGGACTCTACGGGCAGATCGATGGCTCTGGCTAAGTTGGTCGATCTGCAATCGGCTCAACTCAATGCTCGGGCTGGTCGCATTCGCGCATGCAGTGCTCGTGTCATGGGAGGGCAATGGACTAATTCACATGCACATAAAGGAGCCCCGAGAAGCTGCACAAGCCACAGGCAGTCCCAGATCAAGCACAGGCACAGCTGCCGACAAAGATGTGCGACGCTTGTCTAGGCAGCAAGGGCCCTTCTTCCCCTAAAGTTACCCTTCAACCAACCCACCAGAGCAGCTGCCTTTACGCTTGCCGGCGCCTTTCCTTCTTGCGCCAGACGTCCGAATCAGCTGATCGATCTCAGCTCAGCCGATGTCACTGCAGCGGCCACCTTCCGTGGGCACAGCCTCCGGGATGAAGCCGTAGTCCTGGGAGTGAAGAACGGGTTTCGACCGAACCCATCGGTGCAAGTGGATGTCTTCCAGGGCAAAAGGGGCGCCAATTGCGGGTCTCTGCGTCTGCGGGATCTGTCTTTACCGACCCCTCGCCTCAAGAGCCCCTACGGGAACCAGTCCCCCACAAGCTGAAGACTTTCTGATCGTGGGAAAAATAGTTCGCAGGCAACTCGGGCTCTTGTATGAGCATTCCCCAAATGTGTGCTTCTTTGAACTGGTAGACAAGTAACTGGATTGAAGAGCCAAATTGCATCTTTCAAGGAGCTTTGGGCAAATTTGCCCAAGAGGGAAAAACAACTGCCAAAACGATGCTTGGCAATTGGCCTGGTTTGAACCCAACCCCTGCCCCCCTTTGGAGTTATTTTCATCACTGGCTTCTCCCCCCTCCTGTCAAAGGCTTCCGCCCGGGTCCTGGCAGCGTTTTAGTAACAGAAAGTTCACCCTTGACCACTCTCCTGGATCTGGAAGTACAGCACCACTATCCCCGCAACAATCACCGCGCCCGCAAGGGCCAAGGCCACCTCGGGGATCCAAAACCCCAAGCGGCAAGGGCACGGCAGGCGGTCAGGGGCACAGTCAAAGATCCGGGGGTTGGTGCAATTTGTGTGCAACTCCAATTTGCAGTGGGCTGATGGAGCCAAAAATACAGGGCCAATGCGCCAAATTAATTGGGGTGAACATACAAACCCTAGCCCAATATCCGTATGGAGACAAGAGATTGAAAATGGTAAGCAAAAAACCTGCGTTGCAATTCCCGCAAATATATATATATATATATATATGTATACACTGGCTGTCAGAATTCCTGATTGTTCTGCTGTGAATTAAGCTCTGTGTGTGTGTGTGCGTGTACGATGTCGTGTCGCGTGGTGTCATGTCGGGTCGTGTCAGCGCATGTGCCGTGCGCGGCGTGCTGTCGGTGTCGCGGTGTGCTGCGGTGTTTTGTTGTGGTGTGGCTTGTGTGTTGTGTTGTGCTCTGGTGTGTTCACTTGTGATGTGTTGTGTTGACTTGTGATTTGTGCTGTCTTGCCTTGTGATTTGGGATTTGTGAGTTGACTTGGGTGTGTGTGTGTGTGTGCGTGCGCGCGTGCGTGCGTGCGTGCGTGCGTGCGTGGGTGCGTGGGTGCGTGGGTGCGTGGGTGCGTGGGTGCGTGGGTGCGTGGGTGCGTGGGTGCGTGGGTGCGTGGGTGCGTGGGTGCGTGGGTGCGTGGGTGCGTGGGTGCGTGGGTGCGTG